ATGTGTTGCCACACCTATCATAATATTTAAGCTTGATGTTCTAGATGGAAGTAATGCACAAATGTGTCGCTCTTCCCTGACAGAGACATACTGCTTCATTGTGGTATCTCTAGGCAGAAACATTTTTGATTGAGAGATGGGCAGTAAATATCTCTCCTATTGGAGAAGGCTCCGTTTCCCTGGGGACAGCAGGGAGCTAACTGAGCTTGACAAAAGCTGTACTCTGTCTCTCGCTCCTTCCTGGACCAGTCTACTTCTGCCTGATTCCTTCTGCATTGTCTTTAGATTATTGTCCTAGAACAACTTGGAGGACTTCAGCTCTTTTCCTCTCCTTCTCTCTCCCTCCTTCCCTTTCTCCCTCCGCAACCTCCCTTCAATTCAGCTCCATTCAGTTGGTAAGTACTTGTAGTCAGGGGCTGTGCAGAGAACAATTAGAATCAGGACATGGGATTTATAATATTATTTTTATAATGACCACCAGGAATTAACACAAGAAAATGCAGGAAATCTATCTGCAACACCAAAAACGGACTATTTAGTCAAGGCCTAAATCCCACAGCAATGTCCCACATGAGTCCAAATGAAGACCCAGAACTCATGACAACACCTCCCACGAGTCCAACTGGAGGTCCAGAGCCCACAGGCAGGACTCACACCAATCTCTTTTACAGATCCAAGCTGGGAAGGCCCAAAGGTCAGCGGTGGAAACCAGAGAGTCTATGCCAGCAGGATGAAGGAGCTGTGCTGGTGGGATGAGGGCTCTACGCTGCAGCCAAGAAGCCACACTCACAACAAAGACCAGGGCTGTCCTGAAAGGAACCACAGCCATCCTCAGAGACACAGAGGCCCCGAGCTCCTTCAATGACAAGCACCGTCGGATACATGCCAGGAAGCCAGCGTGACGAGTTCATCCTGGAGACCAAGCGGCACACATCTTCCTCTCCGGAGCCAGGAAGCAATGCTCGATGTGAGGACCAGAGCTTCTCCAGGAGAACCAGCAGCTCAGACAGCAACTCATAGGAGAACCCACAATGCCTCAATGCAACAGTTTCTCTTCCACTTCTCTATTTATGCTGGCAACTTTCCTCAGGTGGGACATCTACGCTCAGTGCCATGCTGATGTAATCCAGCTGGCGTTAAGTTGACCACCAGTTCTTAATCCATAACAGTACTGAATGCTTCCATATGTGCCAGGCACTATACTGCATCCTTGGGTTTCAATGACTAAAAACTAAACAAATCCCTGAAATTCACAGGGCATTTTACTTCTTGAAAACCTGTTTGTGGCCAGGAGTGAAGGCTCCTGCTTGTAATTCTGGCACTCTGGCAGCCTGAGATAATAGGATTGCCCAGGAAGCCCTGGGTAACTTTGTAACATAGTGACACATTCCCAGCATCCTCCACTGTCCACAAAGCCTGTTTGACACACTTGTTTACACTATAAATTTGTACTATAGTATTTCTAAAAATAGATATATGTGTATTTTCTATGAGAGGAATTTATCTTTTTTTTTGAATTTATCTTTTAAAAGGAGGTCCTATTAAAAGTACTTGATTTTAAAATCAATAATCTTATATAAATACTTTCATATACATTCCAGGTTTTCAAATCCTGAAGAGTTACATCTGCTTCAATATATGAAGAAGGCCGTCACAGAGAAATACACCTTCTATTTAAGTCTAGTTATCCTTCAGTTGGCATGGTGAAGTTGAGGGGAATCACATTTGTCCGCAAATCAGCTCCCTTCACAAAGCAAATGTTCTTTACCAGCCATGCAGAGAAACAAGGTGACCACTAGTAGTCGCTGAGGGTCCACTGCTATGCCCTGGGCTTCGCTCTCCCTGTGTGCCTTTGATGCTTGTTTGCACATGTGCGCTGCCATGCAGGCAAGCACTCTATCCGCATTTAGTGCCAGCTTGATTGACTGTTTTTAGGTGTAAATGGAAGGAGAACCATTAACTCAGCTGCTTGCTGTGTGCGTCTGGGCTTTAGGGCATTGACTGGTCCTCAGATTCTCCTTTCCAATATTTTAGAATAAGATCAATCTTTTGCTCCAAGTCCCAGGAAAGACTCTTGTTACGTTTTTCATAATGAGTTGGAAGGTTTTTCTAGTGCTGCTGTGTCAAGGGATGACACCATGGAGTTCTGAGGGAAAATTAATTGAGAAGGTATTGGGTGGTCTGGAAGTTGACATCTAGGATTGGACAATGAAGACACTCTCTCAACGGCAAAGATACTTACCAGCGTACAGGACTTGGAGAGCTAGCTTCTTAACTTGTGCTGTGTGGGAGTCTGATCCTAATTTCAAGGAGAGTTTGAGGAGTAGTCACAGCACAGGGAGGGTGGACGATTTTCGCAGAAGACCCTCAGCTAAGACAGCTTGAAGGACCGACTGCATTCTCAGTGTCTGGGCCACGGGACTCTCCTGAAGATAGTAAAGGCTTTTTGCTGCCTTTGCTACCTTCTGCTCCCAATTCTCTGTGCTTTCCATGGCTGGCAACTTCCTTTCAAATGAGCATGCCTTCTTCTTTCCTAATATGGCTAATTAATTCAAATACAGTATAATCTGGCCTCCTGCATGTGGCTTTTTGTAAATCTAGGCTGGATCATTTACACACTAATCTTAAGATTTTTCTCATTAAATAACAGTAATGATCTATTTAGATTTCATCTTTACCACAGGCAACTCATGTTTCTGATTTTATATGCCTATAGATAACTACAAACAACTAATGTTAATGTGCGTGCGTTAGTGCTGGGCGCCGGGTTAGCACTTTGTGTCAGCGCCTCTAGACTGTACACTGCTGTTTTTGTTGTACAGTGCAGGGCCTGAGATCACATGGCTTCATTTGCCCAAGTGCTGAAGACAGAATGTGAACCCAGCAGGTTCTCTCCAACAGTTTCTCAACTCTTTTTATCACTTGGCATCTGAGTTTTGAAATCTGTCTTTATGAACACCTTTGTGTGTGACCCGAGGCTGGTATGGGCATCACTGAAATTTGATAGGTTGAATTTTTTTTTTGTCTTTTTCTTTTTTATTGGTACCGGGGATCAAACTCACAACTGCCTGCTTGCAAGGCAGGCGCTTATGCCGATGAGCTAAATCCCCAGCCCCGATAGGTTGAATTTTCATGGGTAACTTGTCAACTATTAGTGGAGTAACAAGAGTTCAGATTTTGGGGCTGGGGATTTAGCTCAGCGGCATAAGCACCTGCCTTGCAAGCAGCTGGTGGTGAGTTTGATCCCTGGTAGTGATTAAAAAAAAGTTCAAATTTCATAATGACTTCTACAATGAATTCATGTTGCTTGTCCTTTATATTTATTTATTTTGTAATCAGTTGAAAAGTTGTATTTGATGGGTATAAGGAAATACCTTAAAAACATTCAAATTCATAGATCCTAGCAATGAAATACTCCCTGAACACAACAGTTCTTTTAAAAAGCAGACATATTCGTATAATTCCCATGAATCAAACTCACATGAAGGCATGGGAAATACACACAAGTGCAGAAACAAGGGTTCTGAAGCATGATATTGTAATACTAGTGGCCCAGGCTTATGCAGACTTATTTTATATCGGACATTAAGCTCTACATGGATATTAACTTACGTAATCACCAAGAAACCTTCAAAGTAGGCAAGATTTTAATCTTTGTTTTACAAATGAGAAAAGAAAAGCAAGAAAGGAAAGCAGTTTGGTGCCACAGCTATTGGAAGCAGCAGTCAGGATTTGAACTCAGCACCCTGACCTGTGTTTGCAATACCTGTGCTTCACAGGGAATCACTGTGGCTCTTGCTCTCAGTGTTGATTACAGAGCCATTTTTCTTTTTTCTTTCTTTCTTTCTTTTTTTTTTTTTTTTTTTTTTTGTCTTTTTCCTTTTCATCGGTACCAGGGATCGAACTCAGGACTGCCTGCTTGCAAGGCAGACGCTTATGCCGCTGAGCTAAATCCCCAGCCCCTTGACACTGCAGTAGAAAAGGATATGGAGTGCTCAATACCTACAGGTTATGACTTGTATCTGAGATTTTACAGTGCTGAGTAGAAAGTCCTTTACACCTCAGAGGTCCTTTAAAATTGCATGATTGGAGAGGAGGCGGGTCCAAATGAATAGATCAAGAGATGTAATAATCAAATATTTCAGAGAGAGTTTAAATTGTTTAAGGTAAACAGTCTCAGGAGGACTTTGTTACAGGAGAAGGGATGCAGAGATGGTGGCACGTTTGAATGCATGGACAGAATGTGGCTGAATGGTGTTGCTGGTGGTGATGATGATGATAATTTAAACTTACCCCTCACTGCTGGCTAAGCAGTTTTCTCAGTGTAATGCAGATTTATCAACGTCATAGTCAGCTAACAGTTGATCTAGTTTTTAATGTATCCAAAATGGGACACTTGAGCCCGTTAGAAATTTCCAGAAACCGGCAACCAGGACATCATCTCAGGAATGGTTATTGAGGAGGGTGAGGTGGGCCCATGGAAATTTCCCCGTACTCTGTCGCCTTTTCTTGCCTATTACTGTATAATCAGCAAGTGTTCCTACCCCAAAGGTTGTGAGAATTAAATGTAACGCACGCATACACAGTAAGGAAGAGGCATGAATGGCTATCGCCGCTGCCACCTCTCTTGCGGCCATGGCTGCCTGTGGTGGTTTCCAACCACGGGAAAAAGATCATTTTTTCCACCAGTGACCACTGTTACTAGCGGAAGGCTTTGCCTCTGTCCATTAGGGCGGTTAAGCCTCAGAAGCCTGACCGCTGGAGAAGCGCTCAAGGCGGGAAGAAGGGCCAGCGGGGGACGCTGAGGAGGAGGGGGCGCAGGGGACCCGGCGGGGGCCGACGGCAGAACAGCGCAGCGCTCTGCTGACTCCTGAGGTCCCCCCAACTCCCTTTCCACACCCCGCTCCGGGCCCGGCCGGCGATTGGCCCGCCGTCCTCGCGGCTGTCGCCGATTGGTGCCGGCCCGCCGGGGCCACCCGGTTTAAAGGGGGGCGGGGGCGGGGGCGCCCAGCAGCCCGGTCCCGGCCGCGCCGTCCTGCCCCGCCGAGCTCCCGCCGCCCGCCGTCCCATCTGGGCTCGCAGCCCCTCGCGGCCTCCAGTGTCCGGCCCCGCGAGGTCCAGGGCAGGCGCTGTCCAGCCCGCGGCTCGGGCACAGCGGCGAGGGGCGAAGCGCGTGGACGTCGGGGTGGCCACCATGGTGGCCACGTGTCTGCAGGTGGTGGGCTTCGTTACGAGCTTCGTGGGCTGGATCGGCATCATCGTCACCACGTCCACCAATGACTGGGTGGTGACCTGCGGCTACACCATCCCCACCTGCCGCAAGCTGGACGAGCTGGGCTCCAAGGGGCTGTGGGCCGACTGCGTCATGGCCACCGGGCTGTACCACTGCAAGCCGCTGGTGGACATCCTCATCCTGCCGGGTAAGACCCCGCTCCCGAGCCGCACTCTCCGCCGAGACCGGGGAGGCGGGATGTTCACGTTCACGGAAACGTTTGGGGCTCTTATTTTACATCTCCAGCCCTGCCGCGTTGTGAACAGTTAGGCAGCCCCAAACTTCTCCCTTTTGGCCTCAGTTTTCTTATTCGGAATTTGGAATAATAATAGCAATTCGTCCAGCGCTGCCGCAGGCGCTGTGAGGATTTAACGAACCGAGACGCAGGCAGCTGTAGGAACTCCTCTCCTGTGCATTCCCACCGTCCCACCTGCCGCCTGCACCGAGGTCCGGGACCAGAACCTCCTCCACCGCCCTGGCCCAGCCCCTCTCGTGGGCGCCCCGCTTCCCCTGAGTGGGCAGATGGAGGGGCATCGGAGAGCCGCACCGGAGCGGTCCACGCGGGCACAGCCGTCCTCGTGGACGCGGGGCCCGGCGGGGTCAGCGCGCTCCCAGCCACCCCAGGTTGCCTCGGGCTGCTCCGCTGAGCAGACTCCAGGCTGGCCTCGCAGTCCCCAGCCTGTCCGGTCTCCTGCATCCCCACCCGTCCCTGCTGTGGGGCCGCGGAGGCGTCCTGCCCTGCTCGGCTTGCTCCAGTGGGGATGAGAAAAGCGGGGCTCCTGGGGCGCAAGGTTGCTGAAATCCTGGGCTCCAGCCGAGTCCCCCGCTGCGGGGAGGGGCCTGGAGGGCAGGACTGACAGCCCCCCAGCGCCGGCCTGGGCTCCATCTTCCTTTGCCTGTGGGAAAATTCTGGGCAACAGTTTCCATTCTGATGTAAACCCCAGCCAGCTGGATGAAGAGGAAGGCTCAGGATTTCTGCTGGGAATCTGCCCTGCCTGGTTGGCTTATGCTCCCTCCAGCCCATGCCCGGTGGCCTTCTGTCCCTCTAGGTTTTCACGATGAAGAGGCCCACCAGCTTCCTTCAGATGGGAAGAAGCCGGCCCCTGAAGCCGCCAGCGTGGGAGGCATTCACTTGGTGCCTTCTGGAAGAGTCTCTTCCAGAGGCTCTGCACCCCTGTTAAGTGCTTCCAAATGCTTCCCAGTTCTATGCCTGGCAATTGGAATCACTCTTCCTTGCTGCGCACAAAACTTGATCTCATCCCTATGACAACTTATTTTTCTTTTTTTAAAAGAATTGTTTCTGGGTTAAATTCTACACCATTTAAAATACCTTGAAGACACAGATGGCGTCCTCTCCTGGTGCCCACACTGCCTCAGGTGCACAGTGGGCACACACAGTACGTCCATCAGGCTGCCTTCTGTTATCCTCTTCTCTGTTTTGAACTCTCACAAGGATGGAAACTGGGCCCCTACATCTGGATCCTACATCTGGATCCAGTTTCAGCTGAAGCTGCCCTTGGGGAGTCTACACCAGACCCCTGAGATGCAGCACTTACAATCCAGGTGACTTAGGATACATTGTTGGCTTCAGTGAACCTCAGCTGTCCTCTTTTAAAAAGTGAAACTGAGCTGAGTGCTGTCTTTCAGGACTGTCCTGGAGATGAAATGAGACAAGAAATGCAAACCTCCTTTCGTGCAGTAGATGCTCCATAAATGGTTTAAAATTAAAGCTGGGCCTGAAATTGGTGGGGAGTTTGAAAGAGACAGACATTTGCTGTCCATTTCTACTGGAGTTAATTTTACTAAGCATTTAGTGCCATGTCATTTGTTTTCAGAGAATATTCCCACAGGACATTTTTGGGGGGAGGAGGCTAATCCTTTCTGCTGACCCTCCCTTAGGCTTTGAGTGGGGGCAGAGTCTGTCCTCCCTGTCCATCTTTCTACTTCCTGATATGACCTTGGCCTCCTAGCATGTGAACAGCCTGTGCCATGAACTTCAGAGCTGAAGGTGCTGGTTGACTGCATCCTTTGTGTCAGCTCTGGCTCTCCTACAAGTTGCCGGAGCAGGGAGGGGTGCGGTCTGAGTCTTCTCCCGTTTCTCTGGTGGGGGTGTCTCCAATACTTGCTTGATTGTCTTTAATTCTGAAGAAACTGATATGAGATATGCAGTGTTAGCAAAAGAGCTTTGTGGAATCTGGATGTTGGCAAAACATACCTTGCTAAGAGACTGTTCAAGTTGGGTCTTGGTGCCCAGCAAAATCTGGCTGGATTTAAAATGAGAGTCCTAGTATGTGAGGCAGAACTAGGGCTACTTTTTTGGCTTCGCTGTTAACTCTGCCTCCCTGAGACCACTGGCTCTAACTCTGCCTGAGCAAAAAAAGGGAGGATAATAAAATACAATTTTTCTTGATAAAGGAGAGTGTTCTGATGAGAAACAATAAATTTAAAAGTGAAACACCAAGTTAAATATATAAAATTCTTCTAGTACTTTGTCAGATGTATTCTGCATGAATATAGTACATAATATAATCTGCTTTTTAATAAAGTAACAGCATTTTATTTAACAGCGTAAACTTTGGATGGCTTTGCTCTACTCTTTTATTATCCAATTCACCTGTTCTTTCATTTGTAATTGCTTGTTTGTATCATCTTTTGTGGGCAAATGAAAACCTAGCAGGTATCTACCTTCCCAGATCTTCAGGGCTGGTGAAGTAACTTTTAGACCATGATGGACAGGAGGAGAAACATGCTGGGCACAGCAGGTGAGGCAGGAGATGGAGCCTTGAGCATCTTTGGGGGCAAGTTTCACGAGAACAGCAGTCTCTGCGGACAACAGAGAGAGGAAGCTAGAGTTTTAATGTACATTTTAGCTGATTTCAAGGCTATGCTTTGCTCATCTCCATGTGAATTAAGCGTACATGGTTCGAGAGAGAAGTCGCAGCTTCGGCAGATACATCTGCAGATAAAAGCACTGTATTGATGCAGTAGTAACACCAACCATGTCAGCTAACCTTGTTCCAATACTCAGCATAGTAACTGTTCTAGGAACTGTGAGAAAGAATGACTTTGCTCTTCAGTAGAATTCTGTCAGACAGATGTGGGTATTATTATTTTTACACCATGGTTGAGTCAAATAAAGTCATGTATAGAGCAAATCAACAGCAGACTGGAACCAGCATACATCATCACCGTTCATTTTCTTTATAGATTTGAATTTTCATTGGAATCTTTTATGAGGTAATATAATGCTATAGGCTCCTAGCTCCTTTAGTCTCGAAGCTCACCAAGTAGCATAAATGTGGGATTGCCATTCCAATTCTCTAGCTCCCCTTTTTGTTGCTGACTTGCTCTGGAGGTGTGCGGTGATTTTGGATGACGTTAAGCACATTTGAGAAGTCTTGGGAAGGAGTGAGAAGAAAAGGCAGTGCTGAATTCCTGGGACAGCACTCAGGACCTGAGAGGGCCCAGGGTCTAACCTGCCCTCTTCTCTTTCTCCTCCCAGGCTATGTGCAGGCTTGCAGGGCCCTAATGATTGCGGCTTCTGTTCTGGGCCTGCCGGCCATCTTGCTGCTGCTGACCGTCCTCCCCTGCATCCGGATGGGCCATGAGCCTGGTGTGGCCAAGTACAGGCGGGCCCAGCTGGCTGGCGTTATGCTCATTCTACTGGGTAAGCATTCTCTGGGGCACCTCCACTCTGAGGGAATCCGATCAGTCTCAAAGCCTAGGGTTGCTGCTTCCTCCAGTTCAAGAGAAACGTGACGGGAAGCCAAGAGAATCCACTGAGCGACACCTGAATCCTCAGGGTTTGTTTATATTTTATGAGAAATTTAAACAAAAGGGTAAGGGATGTCTTGGGGCACACTGAATATGAAAATGAGTTAAGAAAAATAAAGAGAAATTTTTGATGGTAGGAAATATCAGAGAGAGAGAGAGACCAGAAGACAGGAGAATGTTACATGGTGGTCCTCTACCCAGCTCACAGAAGGGATTCCCTTTTTGAACACTTACATCTGGTTTCTACAGAGGAATTTTCTGGGGACTGGGTCTGGGAAATACGTTTCTTTCAAAGCTCCTGAGATGATCCTCAGCACAACCAAGACTGAGAGCCTCTGTTAATCTATAAAGACTAGAGAAAGGGGAGGGCGAGTCAAGGGGTTGAGGCTGGTAGACCAGTAGATGATGACTCACTACTTTTGTCAGGAAGTGTTCATTAAGCATGTGTCCCAGGGACTAGGGATGATAGAGAGAAGCAGCTTCTGCTCTGAGTGGATACAGACATCTTGATAGCTTGTGGCAGGTACATACCTAAAAAGGCTCATAGGCTATGCAGGAAGGCTCCTGATATGACTGGAGGAGTTTCCCAAAATCAAGGAACCTAGTGTCGCATTTTGAGAGTGAAGATGGTCTGGCCATGGATTGGTAAGGGCCAGGCCAAGGAAATGGCATGTGCTTACTCAGTTTTGCTGCTTACACTTGCACACAAAAGCTTGACACAACCAGTGGAGGGTCCTCTTAGCTCTGTTCTCTTTGATGATTTAAGTTCTATTTTTTTCCTTGGATGCTCATTCCATTAACATGTCTAAATTCCTACAGAGGAAATGAATTTTAAGAATAGAAGTTCCTGTTAAAATGCACATATGAGTAAATGAGAAACTGGTTTGGCTGTAGTTTACTTAGAGTTATTTTCTGTTGGGACAAGGAAGTCCCAGCTCTAAACTGGCATACTAGCGCAGGTCCTTGAGGGATGGGGGAAGGTGTCAGGATTCTGTATGTGTGGGTGCCACTTAGTGATGGTCACCTCCCACCGGAGGCTTCTTGCCCTCAGTGATGCCAATGAGGTGAGGAGAGGAAAGAGGGGGGTCTCATTGCTCGTGATTGCAAAGTGTGAGGGTTTGTGAAACTGTGGAGAACTCAGTAGAAGTGTAAATGTGTGTGTGTTCTAACAGAAGTGAAAAAGAAAAACACCGTTATAATTTCCTACAAGAATCTGAGCGTGGAAATTTTGATTCTTGTCACAGTCTGTGTGTGAGTGCATGAGGAGCACGGATCAGCCACTGTGCTCTGCTTTGTAGCGATCCCTTCTCGTTGTGCTTCCCGAGGTTCAGAGATCCAATTCTCTTTCCAGTGGGAAGCTTAGTGCCTCACAGGCAGACTATGCTGTGGGATCCAGATGATTGCTCCTTCTCCTAGGCACTTGCTGCTTGCTCCTTTCCTCACAGTGAGAGAATGTATTCAAACAATGTGAGCAAACCCTGTGGAAAATGGAGGGAGGAAAGCACAGTATACAGAGACAAATTGGCTTTCAAAAGTCTATATAAGGGGCTGGGGATTTAGCTCAGCGGCATAAGCGCCTGCCTTGCAAGCAGGCAGTTGTGAGTTTGATCCCTGGTACCGATACAAACAAACAAACAAAAAACTCTATATAAACTAATTTTCTAGCTTGAATAACCAGAGTTCTGGGGAGTGGGGAGCAACCAGAGGCTTGTTAACTGCATTAATTTTTTTTATCTTTCAAAGATTAGTGCAGAGAGGGCAGTGGGACAAGGGAAGCAAAGGGATGCCAGCTGTCCTTCAGTTCCTATTCGCCTGTCTGGAGATGGCACCGTGGGGAGTTGGGGGACTGAGTGATCCAACCTCCAAGGAGGCTGTACCTTTCCAGCTGCTTAGCACTCGAATGGGCTGAGGGCCACTCACCCACCATTTCCAGCACTGTGTATTGGGGATTGTCCACCTTTTCTGCCCTCCAGCCCAGATTTATTTCTCAGCGGGTCCCTGCTTTCCAGGCGGATGCTGTTCTGATCCAACGAGCTAGCTCTGGAAATGTAAAGCTCATTGTCTCAAGAGTGGCACCTGCTGATCTCCTCTAGGTCTGCTCACCCGGAGCCTTGTTTTCCACCCTTGGCTGAGCAGAGGGAGGAGCAGGAAAGAGTGAAGGGCCTCTTTGTGTAGCTTTGGACTGGTTTCTGTCACACTCTTGGAGAAGCTGGGGCTGGACCTGTGCTGGGTGCTAGGGGTCACCAGATGGTACTCCGGCTGAGGTCTGGTTCCGGACCAAAGGGAATGGAGGGGCCACACTGGGGATCATGCTAGGAAACTGTTAACACAACTAAACTCAGTTCTTCTTCTTTTTTTTTTTTTGTCTTTTTCCTTTTTATCGGTACCGGGGATCGAACTCATGACTGCCTGCCTGCAAGGCAGGTGCTTATGCCACTGAGCTAAATCCCCAGCCCCCTGAACTCAGTTCTTTCTGGTGTTGGGTATCTGCAACTATCTTTCTGAAAGCTTAAAAATCTTGTACCTGTCTTACAACTCTTTCTTCTCAGCAGGCTTAGTTTGAGGATGTGGCGATTTGGTTCCTGCTGTGGGCAGGAGCAGGAGCCTGGTGCCACTGGCTTCTTAACTGGTTGAGCAGTTCCAGGAGCAGCAGACACCTCACATCTGAGCTGGATCTGAGGCAAATTTTATTTATTTGCAGCTTTTCTAGAGGCCCTGTCAAGGCTGGGTTTTATCAGTTGGAATCAGATGCAATTGTACTGAATCTGGAATCTACTGTTTTCTAGCTGTGTGAACTGGGACAGTTATTTAATGTATCTGAGTCTTCCTTTAAAATGGGAAAAACAATGCCCACTTCTCAGGTTGGTAAGAAGTGTGAAATGATATACAAATTACTTAGTGTGGTATCTAGCACATGGTAACTGCTCAGTAAACGATTACTGTTGTTGTCTTAGAGGAAATAGAGAGTTAACCCAGAAGGTAATTGAATCTTCTTCCAATCAAGTCTAATTTTTCGCAGTCATCTCCACACTTGGAAGTGGTGAAGAGAAATAATCTGTTTCTAGAAATACTACCTGTATTCTGGTCTCATGGAAATATTTCCTTTATTGACTGTAAAAACCAGAATATGAGATTAATAATTGGAGATTTTTGCTTATTCTGTTGTGAAAAATCACAGTAACCCACCTTACTGAAAACTGTGAACCTGAGTTCTGTTGTAGTCTAATTGTTACATTGCTGTGAGTTTCATTTGAGTTTTTTTAGGGAACAGGGTAAGGAATAGAAGAAATGCAAATATACTTTGCTTTTTATATGGAATCTTTTTATTGTCTCTTTTTCTTTTTAAAAAATCTGGTACCAATAGCCTTATTTATAGTGGAAAAGTTGTTTAAATTTGGAAATTTCAGGAGAAATTATGGTAGGATAGATTGTGGCAAGCGTGAGACAAATCTTGTCAGACATGCAGGAAAACAGAATCCTTGGGTATGGAATATGTAACGATACTCTTAATCCAAGATGGTTAGGAGAATGGTTAGAAAAACCTTCCTCCAATCTCAGTGACTTTACACCAACAAATTCCTGATCTAAATAATATTTCATGTGGGTAGTGGAAAGGATGTGGCCCTTGAGTATGACTGTGGTTTACAGTGACCTTATCAGTAAATTTAGAGGCACTAACTGCTTCATGTACTCTCCCTAGGTTTAAATTTTGTGCCTAAAAAAAAATAAACAAAGGACTATGACAGTGGCTCCGTAGTATTTTCCTAACATAAGCAAAGCCTTAAGTTTAATCTCTAGTATTGCAACAAACAAACCCAAAAGCTGGAAACTTAAAACCAAAAAACTACTTAAAAAACTATAGGGGGAAAAAAAAGATTCATGGAAAAAATATAAAGGGAAAAATTTTGAAAGTAAGCCAGGAAAATAATGAACCCAAATATTCCACTGCTTTGCTAGTATTATAAATATTAATTTTTCCTAAAAGTTACTAGTATAGGAGGTGCACGTCCCCTGGCAGCCATGTCAGTGTTTACTGAGAAGGACAGATGGGAAGAACAAGAATGGTTACTAACTGTGTCTCCAGCCTTTGGCTTATATTAGACATTTCATTTATTGTCTCCTAAACTTATTTCTTTGTGAGAAGCTAAAATAAATTGCTACGTAGTTCATATGCTATAATAGTACTGGTTGTAGAATATAATGTTCAGTGTCTTGTGAAATGTTAGATGGAGGTGGATTTTAAAAAAGTTTTTATTGTGAAAAGTTTCAAATGTACACAGAAATAGACAGAATGGTTTAATGAATCCCTTTGAACCCAACCTCTCTCTATAATGAGGAACTCATGGATTATTTGTTTACTTCTCCACTTCTTCATTTCTTTCAGGACACAGATCTCAGCATATTAAGGAAAAATTTCCCTTCATTATCACAGAATAGTCACAGTGATTTAAGTAATTTTAATGAAAATATTACCTTGCACTACAGTCACTGCTTTCAAAAGTCCTTTCAGTGCCTAACACTGAACGTGACAAAGGCTGGAAAAGAAGTGTTCACTAGGAGAGGGAAGAGATGTCAGTATCTGAGCTGGGTTTGCCGTGCCTCTTTGTCCTTGGCTATGCCTTATTACCTCTAGAATCAGACACATCCATATCAGTTTTACTCCTAATCACATTTGCTTTTCCTTTCTACAAGTAAAATTTTAATTGCACCTAATTACCACACATATTTATGAAGAAGTATGCATCACATTTATTTAACTCCCTAATATTACCGTGTGTTATTTAATCTCTTAAAAGATTGAAAGCTACATTAAAATTTTATTGCTTTAAAATTGCCATGCCAAGTAATTTCTGCTTGGTTAAGTCAAATCATCATTAATTTTTAACAAGGTGATGTTCTATCAATTAAAGAATACATTATGTTAACATTATTTGAAATTGGTTCCCAAAAGAAGTAATCAATTTTATTCTTTGATGAGCAAGATTCTACTTCTGAAAGGATCAAGCTCAGATGAATCTATTTTTGCCTAGTGACACTATTTTGTTCTTCTCTATTCTTTTATATTCTTACATTCTTTAAGAATATCTATGATTTTGCCTTCTATTTATTTCCTGGAACCAACAGCAGTTTGCTCCCTCCAACTTTGTATCTTTGGAAAGCAAAAGAGACTGAAAAGTCAGCATTAACATTCTTGCCTTGTTTTTAGAGACTTAATTTAAAAGTAAAACCTGATGAAATGAAATGAAAAAGTGAAAAGTCCTTCTGTATTTCTTCAGTTTTCTTTAGCTTGATGGTAACTGACATTTTAGCAAAGCATCTTCTCTATATATCAGAACATTGTAAGATTATTTTTGGTCAACAATTAGAAATAAATCTACCAAGCCCTAAGAAAACCAGACTAGGTGTGGTGGTGCATGCCTTTAACACTGGTGCTCTGGGATTATAAACTGGAGCCAACCTGAATAAGCTGGTGATTTAGCAAACACTTTCTAAAAAACACAAACAGAAGCAGAAAAGAGCTCTATGAATGCAGTTGAGTGCAAATGTCCTGCCTAGGTTTAATTCCTAATACTGTACACACACATGGGCGTGCACACACATATATACACGTGCGCGAGCACCAAATTAATGACAGTTTTATTAATATTTCATAGTCTTTTAGTTAAGCAGTTATTTCATTTACATTTTTAGCTTTATTTACCAAAACATATCCATTTTTCCCCCAAGCCACTGCTGCAATTTAATAAATTCTCTTTTTTTAAAATTCTAACCATTTTCATTTGGAGTTCAATTGAAGGTCGTTGTTTCTAGTGTGCCTCTCATTTCCCTTCATTTCATGTGGTGGCCTGTCATTTCTCAGTGGTTTTGATGTGGTTCATCTCTGAGAGCCACAGGAATTCCACCCAGAGCTCATTTACCTACCAGGAAATGAAGAGCCTGCTGGTACTCATTTGCCGTGTTTTGGGTGGATTATGGGGAGAAGGAGGCGTTTAGTGAGGTAAATTATGAGCTTGTGAGTCAGTTTTGGTATGTATAAAAGGCAAAGTAGAATCAAAATGGAATTATCTCTCGCCTACTTACCCATTCATCTGTCTAGCCTCTGTTGACCCACTTATTTACCCAACCCGAAGAGGTTCATTTTATAATATTTAGATCCCATTCTTGTTTTTCTTTTATTAATAAATTAGTTACAATAGAATCTAATGATATCTCTAAGATACTTAAAATCAACCGATGGTTACTTAAGGAATATCAAGCCTAATTCTTTACCTGTCTAAATAACACCGTATTTTGGTACTTTGCCTAAAAAGTGGGAAAGAATTAGATGAATTTATAGGTAACTTTTTGTTTTATTCTGTAAGATCTAAACCAAATCTTAGTACCAAGAAGCAAAACAAAACAAAACAAAACAAAAAATTACTTATGGGGAAAGACTTATTGGATTGAACCAAATGAGTTGCTTAGGAATTAAATCTTTTTCCTATATAATTTTCATTGCCCTCTGTACACAAACCTGAGGTTTGGAAGCCCTTGCTAGACTGGGGTCTCTGGGTGTGTGGGGATTGTGTATTGCTCTGGGGAATCTACAGCAGTTCTCTCAGGCTGAAACACTCAGGAAGAGAATTTCTGTCTCCTGGTCTCATAGAGAAAAAACTTTTCTCTATACTTGGCTAGATGAAATTCTCCAAGAGTGTTTAATTTGAAATCTGTAGCTAGAGGAAGAGAAAGAAAAGGACTTTCCTATGCGGAGGTTTTCAAAGCCTTGAGGCAGAAAGGGAAAACTCAAACACTGGTCTTCTTGAATGTTCTTCGCAGAAAAAACACATCTTATCATCTAAAAAGCATTATGGAAGTGGATGTGATTTTATCTACTGTGATTTTATGCTAAAGGAGGCTATTAGCATGTATCATTTTAGCCTCTTAGATAATCTGTATAAATTCAATGCAAACTTAATTGTGTAGATTAGTTCACAATTAATGGGGTGAATTTAGGCTGGCAGAAAACCCACCTGGACTGGCCCGGTGGCACATGCGTGTAATCCTAGCATTCTGGAGATAAGCTAGTAAGAGTCCCATGAGTTTGAGGTCAGCTTGTCAGTTTAAGGTCAGTTCAGGTTTACAAACCAAGACACTGTCTCAAAAAAACCAAAAACCAAAAACCAAGATCAGCTAAACTACAAACCAAAAAACCAAAAAAAAAAAAAATCAAAAAACAAAGTAAGTCAATCTGGGCAACTCAAACCTCCTCTCTTCCTTTTAACTTACACGTGGGGCTACGGATTTTTAGGAGAGGAATCCTGGTGATTTATGTGTATCTATACTTAGTTTGTGGGAGTGAGTTTATTCTGTTGCCACCAAAAACCTTGTCATAAACTACTTAAGTACAATGAGGAAACTTTATTTTCTTCAGTTTAGAATGAATGTACTGGCTGTTATATTTAAGTGATTACGTTGAAGAAAAATTATATTTCTTCTCTTTGGGCATAAAAGTTGAGTTAGAAAAATCACTCAGAATGAATGAAAATCAGGAAGAAAAGCTTGCTGGGTTGAAAGTAAAAAGGGTACTCACAGTAGCAAGTGTAGACCGAGAACAACACTCTGTGTTGAGTTTGTTGATGGCTTTTACAGTTAGCAAATGCAACCTCCTTATTGTTAGTTTCCCGTTTGCCAAATTTGATGTGTCACCTCAACTTGCAATTTTAACTAAAATCTCTGTCCTGCTTGTCATGAGAAATTAGATGACACCAAAGGAAGTCACTGAGTTGGCTTTGTTGGAAGCTGTGTTGTCTCAGTAGCCCTAGCCACCTGTGGCCATTAGGATGAAAATTAGCTAAAATTCCAAATTCAGTTTTCAGTCCCATGAGCCTCTTTGCAGCCGGTCAATGGCTCCATGTAGCTGTAGCTACCAGATTGGTAATTCTGGTCTAAATACTTCTAAACGGAATCTTTATAAGCTCTTGCTTGCTTTTATCATTTTTCTTAGGAGGAAAAGAACTGAGATAGAAGCTGTTTCTTAATCTATAAACTCTAAACCAAACCTGATTAGATTGATTGATGCGAGAGCATAAATAAAGCTCTAACATTATGACTTACTTTAACAAATAGCATGAAATCTGTGAATAAGTGAGTTCTTTTAGATTTCTTCATTTGTGTGTTGGGATTTTGTGTTCGTGGATAGCAAAACAATAACTCAAACCATTAGCTGATACTCCACTTATATCTGGCAGGCAATATTTACTACAGCAAGAGAATTACATAACTTCTTTAGGTCATTGTAACAGAATTGACCAAATGGACGAGGTGGAGTGGAGAGCTGTGATAGATGCCATCTTGCTTCCCATCTCTGGGTGGCTGAGTTATTTGAGTGTATGCTACACACACGATATGACTGATACTGAGCTAAACACGAATGCTGAGGTATAAATAAGACATGACCCCCATCTTCAAGGAACTCAGAGCCTTGCTACATAAAGAGATAATTATAATGTGACCAAGACAATGAAAGAAACATAGAATTGTAACTCTACATGTAAAGGCACGATATATAAGTAAAAACAAACTTTTTGGTCTTAAATGATTTACTTCTTGGTTTTTACATGACAGTTCTTTCCTTAGCCACCTGTTGTAAGAAGTCAGTTGGGCACAGGCTGTTAGTTTATTCTGTGGCTGCAAACTTTCAGGTTTCAGTTGCCGTGTTGCTGATGAAATTCTCTAGTTCTCTGGGAGCTGGCTGGAAGTGTGGGTCTGGGAACTGGGCGCCCATTGCACCGGGCGTGGGGTGTGGGCCGTGGGACGGGCATGCCGCTGTCACACCTCTCTCTGTCTCCCCAGCTCTCTGCGCCATGGTGGCCACCATCTGGTTCCCCGTGTGCGCTCACCGCGAGACCACCATTGTGAGCTTTGGCTACTCCCTGTACGCGGGCTGGATCGGCGCTGTGCTGTGCCTGGTGGGCGGCTGTGTCATTGTCTGCTGTGCTGGAGACGCCCAGGCCTTTGGTGAAAACCGTTTCTACTACTCTTCGGGCTCCAGCTCGCCAACTCATGCCAAGAGTGCCCACGTATAAGCCAGCTGCCAGGCTGCCCGTGGGGTGCTGCAGGTGCTGGGCCCCGGGCCCCAGGTTTGCTTGACGCAGTGGGAGCGGGGAGCCCACTTCTCTGCCAGGCACCAAAGCCAAAGTCTAGAAAGCAGCCCACCTGGCGTTTAGTAGTTTTAACACCTCTCTGCCCCACTGCCTTCTGGTTCCCTTAAAAGATAATGCCCATGTAGTTTTCTCATGGCAATACCCACTATTAGCTTTTTTTCTTGGGATTCCTTTGCTGTTTGTTTAAAAAATGCAATTTTGTTTCTCTCTACATCTTAAATGTTTCACAAACATTGCTGAGTTGGGTTTGGGTGGGGCAGAGAAATAAAAGACACTTTTCAAACTGTTACAGATGACAATAGCAGTGTCATACAGATGCCTCTGTGTCCGCCTCCCCTCAGTTCCAAGGCCGCTTACTCAGAGGAGATACTGGAAGACAGATTGGGGATGTGGGTGGGGAGGGGAGCTGCGGGACTTCTCCTCGCCGGAGAGTTTCCCTTTTCTAAGTTGAGGGCAAGGGGCAGGGTATTTTTCAGTTTATGATTTTACATTTATCTGTACATAATTTTTCAAGATTGATCATTTTTATAACCATGGTTTTCCTGAAATTTTCCATTCATTGGTATGAAGGAAATGAACCAAACAGACTTTAATTATGCAATAAATAACAGTAAAAGTGAGTGTAACTTTAACTGATGTCCACAAAACAGTTTTGATTTCCCGATCTGTATGATGTAGTCCTGCATATGCTTTGAATTAACACGGTTTTAGCCCCCCCTTCTCTCTCCATTTTTATTCTGGCACCCATCTTGCAGTGATGTGGGTTAACATAAACTGTACTGTTGGATCTGGCTTTACGGGTGTGAACACTGATGGTATATCAGTATCTGAGACCCCAGACTCTCCAAACATTGATGGTGCATTTTGTTCATTAAGAGAAATCTGTGCAATAAATAACAAACTGTCTGCAAACCTGGTTTTCAATTTTTTGTTGTATGCAGAGGGATCATCCACTGATCTAAAAACATCTCAGTCATCTCTACTGGTAATTTTAAGGGAACGCAATCAGTGAGGTAGGAGCAGGCATTCTGCGTTGTCTTGAGTAATTGAAAGCTTTTATTTTAGTCACTGTATTTGTTGGTAATGTATGGTCATGAAAATGTACAATAAATGTTCTGTAGGTTAATCAAGTGAAGTGATTTGATGGCCTCAAGTCACAGGTAAGTGCAGCAGAGTCCAAGTTCCAAACATTACACAAACTCATTTAGTTATACTGAATATTTAGTAAAGAAATTAGCTGAGTATAAAGAGATAAATAAACCCATTACTGAATCTTTAGTTGCAGTGGTTAGACGTACAGTATTTTGTTCAGACAGAAACAGATAGATATTTACAAATTTAGTACAAAGACACACCCAGTTGACTTTTATTTGTTTTCTAGTCCAGATATTGTCATGTTATGGGCCCGCTCAGAGAAAACAGATCACAGTCTATTTTGGCAGGCTTTTTCCAAATAAAATACTAATTTCATCTGTTGATTGTACAATGACTGGCTAACATTCCTCTTGGGAAATATCTACTTGGGAGTTATCCTTTATTGATTTATTTTTGTACAGAAATTTGTGTACATTAGGATATTATTACCAGGTAGAAAGTATTTTTAAATGAGCTATCAGAAAGGACAATGCTTGTGTTGACAAAAGTATTTGCTTAGTTATGACACAATTTGCGTAAGAGTCTGAGTCATGTAATTCCAGTGGAAGACCCTCCCCACCTCGTTCAGACTTGTTAGTGTAAGATGATTATGGACATGGAGGGGGCCGAGGGCACATCAAGGGAACAGACAGGCAAGGCTTTGGGTCTTCTGATTCCTACTTTCAGGACTGACTAGAAGCATCACCAGGTCCTGTACCATAGTTCCCTGAAGGACTTGCTGTTTTTGCTCACTCCAGTCCTTGCCTGAGGCTTCTGCTTGCTTCCTCAGAAAGGGAGAAGACTGCCTGAGCCTCACTGTCCCCTGTGCGGGAGCAGGGGCCCACAAAGCTCTTCTGGCTGATTGCCCGACTCCTTAGGGAATCCCATTTTGTAGGTTGTAACTGCAGGGTTAGGGTTTATTTTCAGCTTGAGGGAGGAGGGCAGATATTTTTCTAGGATGGCACTGTGCAATAGGAATGTGCGAGCCCATCTGCAATTTAAAATTTTCTAGTTGACCAAAAAAAGAGCGAAGTTAACTTTAATATATTTTATTTGACGAGTGTATCCAATTTATGCCATTTCAATATGAAATTGATTGATGTGACGTTTTACACCTTTTTGGGGCACAGTACTAGAGACTGAACAAAAGGAGAAAGCACCAAGTTACACCCTAGCCCGACTCATTTTTAAGTATTTTGAGACAGGATCTTGCTAAGTTTCCCAGGCTAGTTTTGAATTTGCAGTCCTTCTGCCTTAGCTTCTCAGATAATTGGGATTATAGGTAGATGACCCCACTCCTGGCCTTACATTCTTGATTTTGTATTAAGCTTTTGGAGTCTAAATTATGCTTATAACATGTCTCAGTTTGTACTAGCCATAAATGGCCTCAGGATTTTGGATTGGACAGCAAGCTGTAGAATGATAGACTCTGTTTCATTCAGTAAGGGATTCAATCTCATTTTATCTGCTGTCTTTAGAGTTCCATTAGAACTTGGAAATTATGATTTATTGAGCGGTTACAATAAATCCTCATTCTGGTGCAGTGACCCTGACTGTGTGTGAAAATGGCAGACCTAACGTATTCTACCCAAACAACAGGGTGAGGGGAATTCATGCTGTGACTGTCAGGAACTTCACGCATCCAATCCACCCCCTTGATCCCCATTGGAAGGATAAGGAAAAGAAATGCAGACTCTGGGTTTTGTCAAGGTCCCAAGAGCCACTATATGTAAGTGGAAGGGGCTTGAGTTTATTTAAACCAAAGCTCCCCGCCCCCATTCTCCAATTTAATAGTTACTCCAGGGAGTTAGGTAAAATGCAGATTCATTTTCCTTTTTCACCCCTCAAGACGGACTCAGTAGATCTCAGACTAGACAAAAGAAACTGCAGATCGAAGTGACACCACATTTTGAGAAACGGTAAACAGAAAGGTTTCTTCCTTAGGCGTTTCTGCAGCTGAAGTCATCATCTCTTGTTCTCTTTTTGGTGATCACTAGGGGTTAGATGATTTTGAGAGTTGGGCCAACCTTTCTTGCTCTCTGCGGCCTGTTCTGAAGAGACTGCAGGCTGGGGTCTTTCAGTTAAGAATGACCCAGTACTGTGCCTGCTTTCCAAGAATATGATGGAAACCAAAGTAGAGAAAAAACATTTCAAGAGAATTTCTAAATCTAGGGATGTTAGTTACAATGACAGCAATAAAAAGAGAAGATTGTACAGTTACAGAATACAAGTTACATATTTGTGCTGAACTGGTGGTTTGATGTAACAATAGAACAAGGTTTGGCTGTATCTTGCTCTGTGCTTTTTTTTTTAATTAAAAAAATCTGCGTGTTACTGTTTCTCTATACAATGTACACAATGTGAACTGCAACATCTTAAATGTTTGGCAGGACATTCATGCTCATGACATCACATGCTGGGAGGACAGGGAGGCCACTGTGGGGCTGGCCCCCGGGAGAGGCTGCATCAGTGCTGCCATTGAGATGGACCCACAAAAGAGTGTGTGACGGCCAGATGTGCAGCTTAATGAGGACTGAACCAGGATTGTGGGAGGAACATTGGCACATGCTGCTGATGGCTTGAATAGCAGCTCTTGAGGAATCTATATTTCTCTACCTCATGAAGAACCTCAGAGCTTGGGCTTTGTGGCCCTGTGAGTGGGGAAGGGAGTGGAGACAGGAGGAGTTGTCACTGCTCCATGCCCTATTGTTGAGATGAAAAATGTGGAAATGTAAGCTTTGCTTAGAGACTTGTGAAAGGCAGGAATTGCTTGTCCTTAATTACATCCAAATTACCTTTCAAATAGCAAAGAGAGCTTGGTTTTCACAGTTGGGGCTTCCTTTAATTAAGATAGCTATTCTCTTTCTCATATGTTGGGTTACACACAGGCATGACTTTCAAGCATGAATATACACACAGATTGCTTGAGGATCTTGTTATAAAGGAGATTGTGATTCAGCAGATAGGTGGCCCCGAGGTTCTGCATCTCTAGCAAGCTCTTGTAGGATGCTAATGCTGCTGATCCTGGACTCCTACCTTGAGTAACCAAAGTCTGGAGTCTGCATCCTGCTGAAACATAAGCTGTCACCATATAGATACATAGTATCTATGTGAAAGATATTGAGAGATCTTTGCCTTTCAAGACAATTCTGGAGTTTTGCTAGCATTACAATGATTCTGGCAGAGTCATTCATTTGGCTGCAGGTTTTGTGTCTCCTTAGAATATGAACGCCCATTGTAATGCTGGAGCCAGCTACACTAGTGAGCCAACTAGGAAGGCTTGTGAAAGCCAATTATCAAATATTCAGGAATTTTGTGAGCCAAGTGATGTCATGTTGTTAATTTGATAACAACTATGGTGGGGTATTTATATCATAGAAGTCACCAAGCACTATGAATTAGGTGTTGTTCTCTGCTGGCTCCCAACCTCCAGCTGGCTAGTCTTTAAACCTTTCCTAGTCAGCTGCTCAGCTCTCGGGGAACCATACGTGATGCTCTGTCAGCCTTTGTGACAGACTGAATCCCTCTTCCCCTGCGAAATAAAGATGATGGGGAAAGGGGGGGAGAACTGCGACTGTCTGGGGTAAGTGAGGGAAGGGTGATATGCTGGCCACAGACTCTTGCAATCGTGTGTCCCTGGTTTTTGTGTCCTGAGTCTAAGGACCTTGGTGGCCTGGGCAGAGGAGGGGCTGCTGCCACACATACCTGGATCCTACAGGTTTAGAGAGCAGGTGGTAAACTTACTTATACATCCACTACCATGCTACCAGGTTGGCTCCCAGGCATAATTCTGATCTTTTTTGAGCTCATCAAAGGTATTTATTGGCCTCACTAGTCTGGCTTCTGAAAGTTTCCTGGTAGATATTGCTTTTTGATGACTTATTCTTGCAATTTTAGCACTCTGGGAAGCTGCATGTTTAAGCCAGGCTGGGCAATGTAGTGACTTAGCAAAGAAAAAAAGTTATATTTCCCCGCTTCATGTAAAAGTAATAATAGTAAAAACATCCTTCATTTAACAACCAACTGAGGTAACTTCCTGGGACTAAACCGTTTAAGTGAATTAGTTGCTAAATGAGGAAATGTATATAGTATGTACATTACAATATTGGGAACAAACAAATGGTCAAAGGAATTTCAGCTTGGTTGAAATTTTTATTTGCATACCTCTTACATGCAGTACTATAAAATATAACAGAACAAAACCTGCAGTACTGTATTGAACAGTAAAATCAGAAAAAATGACCACACTGTACAAACAAGATGAAGTGCAAGCACACGATAAAAGACATTGAGCTCTATTAACAAGATGTACAGAACCATATACACACAAAAAGATGAGTTCTAACCCTGAGCAGCAAGTCATAAGCCTGAAGGGTCAATCGGTCGGTCGTTAATATCTGCAAAGTATTAACTTGCTTGGATGCACCATAATTTATTCAATGAAATCCCAAGAAAATGCTGGCTATTTTGCTTTTTTTTCCTAATGCCTTAATTTTCCATGAATGTCTGTATAAGTGAGTCTGCACACACACATGATGACCTTTTGAAGATTAATTTCTAGGAGGGAATTGCTGTGCCATCATGTATTCCAGATAGTGTTTTAAGATAGATTTTTTTAGTAGAAAGTTGTTGAATTTCCCTTAGTACTTATCATACAACATAGCATATCAATTTACTATGCTGTTCTTTTAAAATTACTTGAATTCTTTAGTTTTTTTCAGTCATGTTGGTATGGAGTTACCTAAGAAACATTTGCAATACATGGGGCTGTAAAAACT